ACTAACAAACTGTTCAGAGGACTTTCTGGATGGACATTCTGTTAAAATATCTGCTAACTCTATATTCAGATGAGATCAATGCCTAAGCCGGTCATTTAGTATAAATAATCCTTACTCCGGACATGACTCCGTGACTCCGTGACATAGTATTTCTTCAAGGTGCTGAGAGTCTGTGCCTCGTCGTGTTAAGAACCATTGAAATATTAAGTATGCTAGATTTTGCACCAGAGTTACCTACTCGCTCAGCCTGTCATTCCGCCGAATCTCTATTCTATGAACATTATAGCCTGGGGTCCCAGTAACCTACTCCCAGCAACCTACTCCTAGTAACCTACTCGCTTGATCTTCGTTATAACAATAACATCTTTAAGTGCGTTTCATTTTTGTGTGGCTTTTCTCAATAAGATCTGATTTGTTCATCATTTCCATTATAAATTAATATTAAATTTCTTGCTGAAAGACGATGATTTTTCATTAGTATTCCGGATAAACTTAATAAACTTATTTAACTTATTTAACTTAATAAGGAATCAGGCTTGTTTCTCTTAAAGTTAAGGAGAACAATTTCATGTAAGAAAAACGTAAGATTGTAAAATAGCTTATCATATAGGGTCCAGTTTGTAGTCTCAATAATCAATATATTATCAAAAATGGCGCCCTTTAATCTTTATATTTATACGATTACATTTAATTTATACGATTATATTTATACGATTATCAAACGCCGAGCTATCATAATATCTTATCGCTAAACCTATTAGGGTCCAAATGTAATCAAATAGCTTTCTTCGGTCAACTCGGCCACTCGCCAATTCACAAAGATTTTTAAAATTCGTCTGAGCAGCCCGACCAAATAGTTGACACACGCTGCAACCCCTTTTGATCGCGCTCCAGCCGGCCGACCGGCCGGCCGAGAGGTATACAATGTGTAGCAACCAAATAGAAACACCCGTATATAGTTTTTAAGATCATGTAAGCGATGTGATTTTTAACAGGCTTCACCTGATGATGAGGCGTATTTCCCAATCCGGTCTAACGCCCCCATATGGAATTTATTACCTAAGTTTCCTCATGAAACTTACAAATGTTTGGCAAGGAATTTTAATGCGAGGTAGTGATAGCCTAATTTAGTTAGGATCTGGGTCTTAACATGCATTATAATCTTTGAATGGAGTCAATTGTCAACAGCTGATAAACATTAAACAAAAGGGTAATTTTTCGTTTAGTTAGGATCGCTGGCATAGCATGCATTGTCATTATTTGATTGATATTCTACAGAAACGAGTGACGCGGTCTACTCCTTTTTGTAGTGTTTGCTTTTCCTATTTTGCCTTCAGCTCTGAGTATGATTCTCTTGAATAGTGTAGTTGTGCCAGTGCCATGCTCTTTTCACATTTTTAAGTTAAATGTCACGCTAGCGATCCAAATAATTGAATCAGAACCCCGAATTACCGCTCCAATCACCATTCTACATTCTAGTCAGGGATGAAAAGGTTTATTTTTGAGGTTTGCTGAGTGTTCAAAAGGACTTTTCGACAGATTATGTGGTAACTAAAATGGCTCATAATACCTTTCCTAATCCTATACTGCAAACTAAGGAAATTACCATATCCATGTTCAAATATGAAGCCAAAATTGGCTATTCTAACTTAACGAGCTGAGACAAGAGGAAGAATTAAATTCTTCCACGAGAAACCAGTTTTACTCAGTTCTCATTTATGATTTATTGATATAATTATATAATTGTGGTCACGAAAACCAAGTTGGTGAAAGTTTACGTCAACGAAAAGTTGATCGTTTTGTCGCAAAACTTTTCGTTAGAATTATATTGCTGTTTTTTACTGCTTTCTTTGATCATACGATAAAGTTAAATTTGAATTTTAACTAGCCATTATAAATATAAGTCCTAAGTCTAAGATCAAAGATCTTTATTTTTGATTTTCGCACAGCGATAGAAAAAATTCGAAAAAATTCGCGCTGAAAACTTTCGCAGTTAAGTTATCCAGGTAAAGAACATTAATTGTTAATCGCATTTTTGTAATGTTGAGTGTTCGAAATTTCTGGTGATTTTATAGATTTTAGCAAAAAGTTTTTAGTAAAAGGTTTGTAACGCGTCTTGATGAAACTGACTTATGCATATGTCCTGAAATTAGATTTTTTGTTACATAGAACTAGAAGTGTTGAAAGTATTATAACCGTTTTTCCTGAATACTTTCAACACTTCTAGTTCTATTAATAAGTGATAAATATCTAGTCTATAAAGTCCAATAGACAACATTTTCAATATTCATACCATTTACTGATTTACAGTTTTACAATTTTCGAGCATGCTAATAATTACTGTAAAACTAAACTTCGAGATTTATCTAAAATACAACTTTGAGCAAGTTAGACCAAGTTAGATCAATGTTTGCTTGAAGTTTGAACGTTTCTGGGCGGCGCTCAGCCTGTCTCTTTGCATTATAACCAGGGGTCCCCAGGTCACAGGTAAGTTTGAACGCTGATTCCGAACCACCTTAAAGTTAAATGACTAACGGTTAAAATGTTCCCCTGGCGAGTTAACGGCGAAAAACTGTTTGATCCATCACGTGATATGCCGGTAGAATTTAAACTGGTTTGCAAAAATTCGCCAGCCCAAAGATTTCTGCCTTTATTTTTCAGATAAGTAATTGTTTCCTTATTACACCAAACGGAAAAGCTTTGGACTGGAACCCCAAAGTCGATAAGCACAAATGGTAAAATCTTTAAAATGCGAATTGTAAATTTTTAAAATTGCCGAACGAAATTTACTCACGCCAATCTGGCCTTAGATCAAAATCATTGAAATAACAATTAAGAATTTGGCTGTGTAATCAGTGATTCCTTTCTTTTAGCTCGGTACTGACCACATGAATTGTGGCTACGTATTAGTGCTTTTGTCTTGCTAATTGGAAAATATTGAAATAAAACGTCTATAGAGATCATAGTACTGCATACATTTTTACATTTGTGCGTGACAATGAGTTCAGCAATGGCATAAAGCAGTGCATTCGCTGTTTATTATTTGTAAAATACCAACTTTGTCATATATTTCCTGGCTGTCATTTGTTGTGTTGTGTGGAAGTGTGTTTGGCCTCACATTTGGGTATAAGACAGGGCCGTATTGTCTTGATCGCCTCACATGACGTCATATCAAATAGACTTAAAATAAAACAACACCCGACGAGTTATAGTATGTCAAAAATTGTTTTTTGTTTGCGTGGTAAATTGAGGGAAAGCTTTACAACCAGTAAGAACCATATTTCGTCGCCATCAGGTTCGGGTTTGGCTATAGATAAGTATATTGAATGCGGAGGTTTATTGGTGTCGATTAGGCTCGTGTATGGACCATTTAGAAGTGCAGAAGGAGGAGTAACAGTGACCTTATATCCCACTATATACACCCTCTCTGACGAGAGTTAGAGACTGACGAGTGTTTTTAATAATATCAAATCTTTATAATATAGTTTTATAAACAGTTTTATAAATAACCACTCTAAATTTCGGCCTTTTAATATTTTATCCGACTAGATTATGAGGTGAGAATAACTTGATAATTATTAGAGTAATCTAGTAAACTCTAATAATCAAAGTGCTATATCCCACCCACTCGGTCACTCAGCACTCTGAATCTGACGAGTGTTATTACTACATCTTTATACTAACCTAAATATTACTCTGATTAAGTCGTGTAGTGTTATTTGATGATTCTTTCAAGAAAATCTCTGATTTTTTTTCTGAATAGACTCAGTGATGTACTGATATAAATCACGTATCGACATTTTTAGCTACGTCATAGCTACGTCATAGCTACGTCATACTCATATTCTCAAATTATTTGTTATATAGTAGTGTTAAAAGCACTAACCTATTTACGTACCGTCCAGCTAGAGTCTATTAAATATGCATAGTCAATACCACCGGACAAAAGGATCTCAGAAGCTATGTCACGAGACGGTATAATTACTAGTTTGGATCATTTGTTTTGGTCGCAGGTTCCGCCCATGATGACTGCAAAGCTTTTTAAACGCCTTGGCTTTGATGACACTGCTTTTGTTACACCTAGTCTGCTTTACATTTGTCAAGATTTTAATTTTAATTTACCATTTCTACGTTACTACAGATAGTGGTACCGGTCTGAAAGGGAAGGGAAAACCGTCGCTTTCCGTGAATCTAACATACGACTTTTGATTTTTATAGTGGTGTATAGTTTAGCCATATTTGTTCGGCCGGTAATGAATCAAAAGGGGCCCATGGCGAAGCATGATAAGCAAGTGTTTCGAACCAGCAAAATTTTCATACATGAATTTGTGATCGCAAAATAATTTCTTTCGGTTGAGGTATTTTCGATCAGGAACGTTGATATCATTTCCACGCGAAGATTTATAATCATATGCCAAGTTTTTATTCTCTAGACAAAAGGCAACATTTTTAAAATTTACTAGACAAAACGAACAAATTAAACTATCATTAGACAATTTTCAGTAGCCATATATTGGCCATTTTTCTCATATTAAAATCAAATTAAGCATTCCATCATATAGCGATCGTTTTGCTCAAATATATGACTGAATATTGTCGATCACAAAAGGAAATATCTTGTATGCAGTCGGCTAAATTATATCAAGCTATACTGAGCTAAATTATAGCTAAATTATAAGTATAACGTCGGGTAAGTTAACCTGAGCGTGATCGCAAACGATCGTTGTGCCCATAGTTTTATATATAGTTTTGTATATAGTTTTACATATTATAGTTTTATATATATTTTGTGTATAGTTTTATATATTACCCTAAACTTCGGCCTTTTAATATTTCAGAGGACTAGATTAACTTTATAAAAGCAGCTGCTATGTTCAATGAATTCAATGAATATTTTTGGTAATGCTTGATTCAGTTTCACGTATGCTGTTACCAGAGTTTCATAAATAACAAATGAAAAGATAGAATTCTTAAATTTTCTATTACTTACTTACTTTAGGTTGGTTTGGCAGGGATCGCTATTCCTGATCAAATCAATGATCCCCTCTATCTTCAGAATCTGACTGTTAATGTTCAGAATGCAAAATGACAGTGTAGTGGTAAAGAACAAAATCCTGCCAGTAGTGGCAGTGTCTCTGAACATGGAGAATATACCGCCTGACCGCCATGACAGTGCTGATGATATTTATCTCAATGTACAGGAGCATCACAACGGCAGCAAGTGGAGCAGACTTATCAATCAATATTCAATGGGACACGATTTAACTTCGTCTACTGGTTCAGTATTTGGAGGGGATGTTTCAAATTCAATAGACTCAGGAAGTCGACTTATCGATAGCAACGAGCGCGAACGGACATCACTACACGCAAACCCTGAGATGATATTCTCTTTCGGTCTCAGGGGAGTGTCACCTACCACCCAGGAGATTTTCAAGAGGATAGAGGCGAATGAGTATAATGAGTTGGATAAGATTCTGTCTGAAAGAGGAACCAAAGTAACCATCGTTCCTAAAATAGGTTGCCCTCAGCAGCACGATTTCATTTCACAGAACATAGCCAACACTGAAAACGAGGAGGGAGACTCGCCCCTTCACGCAGCAGCTAAAGTTGGTGTCACTATGGTGGATAAAGTTTTAGAATATGGAGGCAATCCAAATGCTAAAAACAGAGAAGGGGACACTCCTCTCAGCATCGCAGCGGTGAGAAGGGACAGACTCTCCATAGACACTCTCATCCACGCTGGAGCCAGTCTTAATGCCGCTGTTATCAAACTAACCTCTTATCTCCGGGATCACACTGATACAGACCTGCCTGGCTTTGAGTCTGGGTTCAGCGTGAAACCTTTGACATTCCTTCTCTCCAACGATGTTTACTTGAAGTGCAGGGACCCCTTCAGGACGGCATTTGATGTGAGCAAGAGTATAGAGGCCATAGTAAACATCAGGGATGAGTTCAGAATGGAGTTTGAGTTGTTGATTCGGGACGCTGATGTGTTCGCCTACAAAATGTTGGACTATTGTGAGAAAATGAGTGAGGCCAAAACTGTGTTATCTCAGGCACATGGACTACTCAGTAAGGCAATAAATGAGGGAAAGAAACGGTTTGTCGGTCATCCTTTCAGTCAACAGATTATTTTAGAAGAATGGTACGACAAAACAATTTCCAGCAAAACTGTATTTAGTCACATAGGAATAGTAGTCAAGTATGCAATGAGCCCAATTCTCTTGCCACTGTATTTTCTGAAACTTGTGTTTTTCGAACAACCAGCACATGTGCCATTAAGGAACTCCAGTGCCGCAGACCACATGAGTTTCCTCTTCATTCCCTACATTTGCTTCGTAACTGATATATTTAACTACCTCATCCTCCTGGGACTGCTCATACTAACCTGCATTAGCACCAAAAAATCGGAGGTCCCTAACAATATTGAAATAGCGCTGTGGTGTTGCACCGTATCTAGGCTCTTCATAGAATGTGACCAGATGTGCCAACAAGGGATCAGGTGCTACTTAAAGAACATGTGGAACATTCTAGAACTCTGTTCATGTTGTTTGATTACCATGGCTGCAGTTTACAGGATCGTTGTGTTCCTTAAATTCGATAACCCTGAAGGTAGCTTGACTAAACTTGAACCTCTGCACAAAGATATCTTAAACATCACCTACATATACGCAATCACTGAGTTTCTCATGATCCTCCGGTGGTTAAACTTCCTTGAGTTCTTCCCTGGTCTGGGTCCACTCCTCATTGCACTGAGGACCTTGCTGGCAGATGTGTTTAAGTTTGTGCTGATTGTGTTGTTTACGTGTGTGGTGGGGACAACTATAGCTGTTTACTCTGTTGTCAGCACTGTCAAATCACAGAACGAAATAAAATCGTCCCATGAGGTAAGACGAAATGGTAAATACAATCATTTCTGTAAAAATTTTTTCGTAAAAAGTTGTTCGTAATTCGTGGCCAAAAACTAAATATGCTTGTTTCTTCACTAAAGATCGATCACTCCTCGCCTAATTCATGATTTTGAAAACATAAACCACGATTATAATACTGGCAAAATTCAAAAGTTTGGAATCTGATTTTTATAACACTTTATGAAGACATATATTCACAGGAGTGGAAATCAGATTCAGACGTCAAATTGAAAAACACTCCCAAGTTCTTCACCGATTTTGGGACATGCTTCATAAATGTCATTTGGTCAACATTTGGTCTTTACAGAGTAAGTCTCTTTAACAAATTGCGAACAGTTTTTGATAATAGCCTTGCCCATACTTTACTGTCACATTAATCCTCTATTTGAGGATCCCTTTATATTTCAGGACGTTGAGATAGAAAACGACAGCACCTCAACCTACGTGGTGTACATTATTCTCCTCCTGTATATCATCTTAGCAGTTGTTCTAATGCTGAACATTTTGATAGCTCTTCTTAACAGCACCTTCGAGAGAATTCAGGGAAACTGTGACATCGAGTGGAAATACGCCAGAAGTCTGCTTCTCAAGGTTTGGAATTGAAAGGTTGTCATGCCTTATTTCCAATTTTGATACTTTTCCGATAAGATTACAAACTGATTGAAACTATAAATGTACTTTTACAGGAATACAGAAACGGACAACCATTCATATTCCCTTTCCATCTCTTCCTGATACCCATAACGATCCCGTACCGTTCAAAGATGGTCAACAGACGACACCAATTGAAACGACAAACGACCAGAGAAAATCTGTGGCGGTTAACAGAACGGGACAAGCTGCTGTCCAAGCTGTGTGACCGTTATAGGAGATCACTGGCCGCCTCTGATACAGAGAGGTGCAGCACTTTCAGCGGTTTTAACGATCAGAAAATGGGAACTTTCGCAGAGACTGTCGCAGTTCAGAGACATAATTCATCCATGAGGATGGCCAGAAGAGCTGCTTTAGGCAGAAATCAGAGAGGAGCATCCAGACTTTAGTGAATGTAGTAATGCTATCAGGTGACTAATCCATGCGGAATGAATCTATATTGTTTTACTTTTAGTGATAGTTTTACGGATTTAGTCCGCTTACCGTAAAAATCAAATTTTGTATTTTATACTTAAACAAAAAGTCATTAGAACATTGTTATCACTGAGTTTATTCAGAAAAAAGATCAGGAATTTTCTTGAAAGAATCATCAAATTTTAACGAGACTCAATAGACGATAACACGACTTAATCGGAAATATAAATTATAATTGGTATCCTTTTACATGGAAATTCTGCCTGTACTATTCTTTTCATGATTTCCATATTATATATTTAACCATTTGATAATGTTGTCAGTTACCTGTTTGCCATCAAATAACATAAACAATTGAAATGTATCTCTCCTTGCGCCCACATTGTGACTTATAGCTTGGATCACTGATAATGCTGCCGAACAAAAAGTCAATTTAAATTGGATATTTTCATTGTTTTAAAAGTCTTGGGTTTTCAATCTCAAATCTGCTTCAATTGTAAATGTTCTTTTTGTTCTTCCGGAGAACAAAAAGTCAAATTATATTGGATATTTTCATTGTTTAAAAGGTCTTGGGTTTTGAATCTACTTCAATTTAAAATGTTTGTCTTAATCAAAAGGAATTTTTGATTTCGTCTCCTAAGAAAATGGCTTCATAACTTTTAGTTTTATTATTATTAGGAATGCTATAAGTATAGTGAACAGTGAACACTATCCATGCAGTGACTGAACCGAATGTTCACCTTAGCTGACTGGTTAAAAATCGCCGCTAGTTGCAAATATAGTCGAGTCAGGCGTCATCTACATGTTACGTTTAATTGAAAATAAGTATTTCAACTTTCAGTTGCAGTAGTACTACTACTACTACTAGTACTATTATAGTAAGTACATAAAATTAGAAATATCATCGTCAATCTTACTTTTAAATGGCCGATGGATGGTATATATTTATATACGTTGATAAATGTTTTAAATCAAATGATGATATCTGCATAGCATATCGTACAAATAATGCACATCCAAACGGTAACATACAATTTTATTACAATATGACAGTCACCGATTAGCCCTTTTTTTATTCACGATGCATCAATCCTTCGCATCTCGCCGATCTGCATACGTGGTTGCGAAAAGCATTATTTGATGCGCGCGCGACCCAGTAGTGCATCGCGCTATAACCCTTTTTGTAACAAATGACTCTGCTCTTCAAAAAGTTAGTTTCTAAAAGCAATAAGCGTGAGGTACTAATTATTAACGACACTGTCATGTCAATTTTTAATCAATATGCGCGCCATGCATGCTTACTTGTTACTGTCACTACGGATGATAATTAATCACTCTACACTCGACTGTCACGTGACTTTTTCAACCCGTTCTCTAGCTGGTCCTGAACGACTATTCGAAACCCTAACCCTCTTATCTGATCCCAACCCTAACCCTAACCCAATCCTTAACAAAAGCATATGCTGAAACCCTAACCCTAACGAGAAATTAGACTAACTTCCTTATACTGTCATATCACGTGATCGAGACAGTTTTTCGCCCATATCTCGTCAGGGGAGCATTTTAACCCTATGTCATGGGGGGTGATTCGGAATCAGCGTCCGAAAATACATCGATTGAAGTTGGTTTCAACTGTCGGGGGCCCTTTTAGAACAATCTCGAAGATCGACTGTAGAGTGATTTAGTACGCTCGTGTCACTACATGCACGTACAATATACAATATAGCTAGGGGTCGACGGGTCGTTCACATATTACGTAATCAGCTGAGGGGGGTTCCGAATGATTACGCTAGTGTAATTTTGACATAATAGCTATGTGTAAAACTGCAATTACGGAGCTGGAGGGGGTAAAAATTTTCAAAAAATGATTACGTAATAACAATATGTAGGTAGTGCGCCATCGACAGTGAGCCGCGCGTGCCGACTGTAGGATGGTTTTTTAGCGCTTATTTCGGCCAGCACAATTTTCTTCAAACAAATAGATACGATATTAAGTATCTTTCCCGACCTCCGATTGCAACAAAAATTGATAAGCTTACTCATAAACTTACAAGGAAAGTGTCCGAAAAATTTAAAGCATATCCAACCATAAACATTATGTTACAGCTAAAAGCAGCGTATTTTGCTCCATTTTGATTACCATATTAACTCTGATATCCACCAAATTTTTCGGACAGTTGTGAAAGCCCTATTGGAAGGTCGTCGCCAATTTTCAGAATGATCTCATTCAAGGAACCGAAGATATATCCGAATAATACGACAAAAATCAACGAATTTGGTCAAATTACGCAACTTTTACAGCTATTTTTGCTCCAAAAGCCGCGCAGCATTTACTGGGCGGCGCTCAGCCTGTCATTCCGCCGAATCTTTATGAACATAATAGCCTGGGGTCCCCAGGTAACGCAGCATCAAATATGGCAGCTAGGCGCGAAACTCACTGATCTTTCCAAAAAGGTATGACAAATTTGGTATTGTGAAAATTCTCACAGTCTCTAGAAAACAGCGCTAGTGGTACAAAAATTTTTAAAATCCGAGCAAGTTTATTTTTATAGTGCACCCCCTACAATATGTGAACCACCCCATAATCATATTACGCACTATAATTAGTACTTGACTCCGACGTACGGACAGGTTATTTCAGTTAAAAAATAATCTTTTATTTTGTTAAATAACCTTTTAATTTTAAAATAACTTATTTTCTATGTTCAAATAAATTTAAAAAATGAAAAATAACTTTTTAGGTTACAAACATTTTAGTCAAAGATTTTACTATTATCACTTCGAGATGGCCAGGCCTACTCTCATGCTGTCTATATGTGATGATTAATTCTGAAAAACTAGGGACAACTGGGGAATGATCCCAGAACCTCGAGATTTCGCGTCTCTTGCTCTACCAATTGAGCTACTGACCCTGATTCTCAGAGCGAAATCACCACTCATATACAGCACAATTTCAAGCTTTGTGTGGAATATCATTTATCAGTTATCATTTATCAGTTAGTATATGAGTGGTGATTTCGCTCTGAGAATCAGGGTCAGTAGCTCAATTGGTAGAGCAAGAGACGCGAAATCTCGAGGTTCTGGGATCATTCCCCAGTTGTCCCTAGTTTTTCAGAATTAATCATCACATATAGACAGCATGAGAGTAGGCCTGGCCATCTCGAAGTGATAATAATAATTAAATGTTTCGCAGATTGGCAATTGATCGGTGTAGTTGGTGTTGTACACACTGCACTGATAACGATATCACGTTGTACGTGTAATGTAAATATAGTGTGGATAAATGCGAATATATATTCTAAATAACCAAATTTTACTATTATGTATATAAATTTGTAAACTGTAAACGACTTATAAGTATTTCGTTCCTAAGACTAAGAGTAAGGTAAAACAAAAGAAATTACTTATTTTAATTAATAAGTAATAGTATATCGCTTAGATTTTTCTGTGTTTATATTTTAGCAATATTGAATATGCAATTTTACTTTTAGTGTAACTGTAATAACTGTCATTATGAGAATTCTATACCATTCATAATGGACTAACCCGGCACGCACTACTTTACAGCACTTTCAACTTTGCCAGCGGTCTAACATTTCGAAGAAATTATTAGACGCGTAACTGTATCATTATTTAACGGGGGTTTACAAATGATTACGCTAGTGTTATCTTGACACAATAGCTGTGTAGTGTAAAGCTGATTACGGAGGGCCAGGGGGGTAAAAATTGTCCAAATTAAAAGATTACGTAATATGTGAATTGTGAACGACCCCTAGGGTGTTATGTATGCTGTTTTTCTTTTATGTATGCTGTATATCATCATTATAAAAAAATATGACTAAAGTAAAATTGTTTGCTTATTGCTTCTACCAACTTTTACTTACATTCATCTGTGCAAATCGAACTCAAAGTAAAATGTAAAAGCTCGAACCAAGCACGATAATATTTTCCACGTGCCCGCGCCTTTGTTTCCTAGTCTGATAGCATTTACATTCTGTCCATGGATTAGTAAAATATTAACATTTTTGAATGAAACCAATTATGTATGAATAGTATGCTTAAACTTCCTCATACCTATTCTTTGTGATCTAAAGCTCATAATGAAAAAGAACTGGCCAGACACTGCGTGAGGCGTCGCCATTTTTCAACATTATATTTAAACTGGGTTTCTGGCTGATCAACCAATAAAATGATGAATATTAAATTGAAATGATGTGAGCTCTTTAGTGTTCGTTTTGATATAATATGCCAAATGTACATTTTAAATTGTAGAACAAATTAAACAAGAATCTCTCATTCGATAAAAATGGTAATTACATTAAAAAGCTACACAATTTCTGTACTAATCCTAACCGCACTATAATATATATTTTAATACTCTGGAGTCCCACCATTATGCTTCACCTAGGGTTGACACTCAGCACCAAACCAAGTTTTGCTTATTTATATTGAAAAGAAATCATAATATTCCGTTAAAAAAGATATGGAGGTGTTGTCATATATCATTCCTACGCGGCCTACTGCAATAGCGCCTGGTATTATATTGGTGATTAATGAATGTAAAAATGTTCACTTATTGTAAATTGTTGACAAAAAGCCTTTCAACAAAACTCTGAATAAATTTAAATTCATTCAACAGAAAGAATGAAGCACAGGTACTGTTACAGTTTTACATGATAGCCATTCTTTTAAAAATGTAGACCTTGTCATTTAATGTATATAATTAACAAAATACAACAATAAGTTTAGTTTTGAACTGCTTCATAGTCAGTTACCATGCTCGGGGTTTATTATTGTTATAAGTCGGAGAAAATCTCAATAACATATTAAATCATCTCTTAACTGAAGACACAACGGTAATTACTGATTAATCTGCATCTGCACTGAACCACTCGATATTTGGCGTATAAAAATAAATGAAAATTTATAAAATAACTGAAAATCACTCGAAATACCAACAGTAACATAGGATTGTATGTCGGAGCATTCTTACTTGATCACTTTACAAATCTGTTTGAAAATGATTTACCGTAAAATGTTTATTATTCGGGATTTTATAACAGAATCTTTAAATCTGAAATGTTGCAATGAAGGGAAAATAAAAGAAATATGCTTCTACACGTATAACGGCCCCCGCTCGTTCAGTATGTATAAATTGAAGTATAAAGCTTCAAAATTAATTCAAGGTATATAAACATGCATGTAAATTCAGAAAGGTTAAAAAGACTGAAGCATTCTGGTAAAAGTTATGATTCCCAAAGGTATTTATGGTTCTGGGATTAAACTACATTGTAGTGAAACAGGGGTGGATAGTTGTTTCACCGCTTCACTTAAATTTAGAGGTCCTTGTTAGTTGGATAGTCTCATCCGATTAGCTTCAAAAAAAGTTCTGATGAAATAAAACCTAACCAGCACGGACGAACTGACGCAACTTATGATAAATCTCACAGGGCCAAACAAAACCCTAACAGAATCCCGTTCCTACACCTCATCTGAAATCCTAAAGTTGAGCGGGACGTGTGTGTCTACGATATGAGGGTCTGCTGATACCCTGTAACTATCCTCACAGTCCGAACCATCCTCTCCGTAACCAACCCTGTAGCTGTCCTCATCTTCCAACACTTCGTCCTCTTCAAAGCTCACTTCCGCGGACTCAACCCCAAACACAACCACCTCGTTGACGCTTATGTTGGAGGTTAAAGTTGTGTCTTTCCTAAGCGAGTCAATTGTTGCCAGGTCTTCGTCAGAATCGTGGATTATTAAACTGCCGGTATCTTTCTCCAACATTCTGAGCAACATGTCATCAGGATCAGCTGGGTCTTGGAACTGGAAGTCTGAGTCGTGGTTGTGGGTGGCAGGGGAGGGAGTGTTGGGGCTGGACTGCTGGGAGGAGGTCCTCGAGGCTCCTGGAGAAAGAAAAGGTTTTAGCGAGAAACTGGAAGGTGTGGTATATTCATGATATGTAGCAAAAGTAAGCTATTGCCATTGTCATTTTGTAAACGTATACAGTCGATATCTTTGTAAAATGTGCTTCTTGTAGCAGTTATTTGGCAAGCTTTACAAATTCAGAGCAGGATTTTCTGGGTTGATATCCTACAGTTTAGTCTAAATAGCCAACTGTCTAGTATAATTGATAATAGAGTCCCCGTTCTAGCAATTGCCTGGCAGTAAGCTAAGTGCTTCTTCTCACCGGTAGTTTTAGATATGTCAGTATTTATACAGGTATGTCAGAGTAGCTAGATGATTCTGTCAGATCTGTAAGTGTATCAATACAGTCAGTTTGTCACAATAACTTTTCATAAAATGTCAAAATTCGTCGACGGCAAGTTTGTTGAGAGATAATTATTCCTTTTTTAAAAAGAGCGTTGGCGGTAGAAATATTCACGTACCTTCTTCACTGAGGATGCCATAATAAGCAGCAGCCATCTTGGCGACGGTAATGCTAACAGCTTCACTTTCTCTGTCAAGAAGGGCAGCCGCCATTTCTTGGGTGATTTCATTTGTTGGCACTCCGTTCACCTCTAGTATCTGATCCCCTGGCTTCAGTCGTCCGTCCTAAAATTGTAATATGTAATTATGAATTCAGCTCTTTCATTATAATTATCATTATGCGTTTAAAGTCCCGTTCGAATGAAGAATGGAATCATTTTTTACTGTGGTGATCAACATAAACAGATAAAAATACCTCATAAGCTGCTCCATCTTTAAACACATTCTTAACAAAGATTCCGGAATGAGAATTATTTGAATCTTTCCCTCCAACGATGCTGACTCCGAGACTAAGATCATTTCTTGCGATGGTGTAAGAAGCTATCTCGCACTGATCCAGTATGTTCTGACTCTCTGATTTGGGCTTGTCATCTGAAAATATTTAGCAGTTTGAGAAACTATTCGCGTGCAGATTGTGGGATGTATTTCACAGGAGAGTGCTATGTGCATTCCAGACTGACAAAATGCCAAAAGCCAAGAATTCGTCAGTATGTTTGAATTACGTCGATCACATCAAATCCATACCGCGCGGCTTTGTATATTCACGTGCTCGCAATGAAGCTAGTGCTAGTAGTAGACAAAATATAATTTCGCGTTTTCCATTTGGTCTCCCGCGCCTGGATCAAAATAACAGCTGTTCCAGACTACAAATAGAACGTTTGAACTGTGGTATCTGGGGAGGCCTCAGTCTTGCATGCTTATCATGGTTCATTACCAGTTTTAGGGTGATCATCTGTTGGCTTCCGGAAACACCAACGGTCACCTCCAACGTTTTCTCTTAGTTCCAACTCTTCGTCTGAGGAAATTATCATTAGCTTAAGCTAATGTAGTCCTAAAATTGGCTTATTTTTGTCAACTCCGTGTTAAATTTATCAATAATTTTTTTTAAATATAAAAAACTGTACCCGTTGATAGTATCGGATAACAACAAACAGTAAAATTCAACTGATTTCATAATAAAAGAGCAACTAACCGCAACCCTCGCATACTCTCTCGAAGAAAGTCTGGGTATAAGTAGTCAAGCCTGGCTCGTGGTTACAAGCCGTGAGCTTGTGAAGCGGATATCTGAGGAGGGGTTCTTGTACTTTCATATCTATTGGCTCCCCCTCGCCTCGCAGCCTTACATCTACTATTGAGTCTGTGATCGACACTGCGGCCTCTATAAACTCTGAAATTAAAACATGGTTTAAATCGTGGATGTTTTGGGCCTCGGAAGTCGGATAATGTTAAATAACATGCTGCAATCCCAACAAATGCTAATTGCTAAACGATGTAAAGCTCAGACTCGCTGTCACTTCCATTACAAAATGGCAATGCTCCACAGAAAATGTCGATATTAGGAATTCTTCGGAATATTACCTGAATTCTTCGGAAGACTTTAAACTATTTACTTACCTCTTGAAACGGGTTCCTCGTCTGGGCCAGGTTTGTATTTCCTGAGAATTGTACCAACTTGCAGAGAGTTCAGCTCGTTACATCCTTGTAACAGATCTGCTAGTTGGTCCAGATCATGTTTTGGTGCTCTCAGTAGGTCAGTTATCTGAAATTAATTAGTATTTCAGATGTTCATAATGAATTAAATATTGATTCAAAAAGAGATTGATCACTTCGAGATGGCCAGGCCTACTCTCATGCTGTCTATATGTGATGATTAACTCTGAAAAACTAGGGACAACTGGGGAATGATCCCAGAACCTCGAGATTTCGCGTCTCTTGCTCTACCAATTGAGCTACTGACCCTGATTCTCAGAGCGAAATCACCACTCATATACAGCACAATTTCATGCTTTGTGTGGAATATCATTTATCAGTTATTTAGAATATATATTCGCATTTATCCACACTCTATTTACATTACACGTACAACGTGATATCGTTATCAGTGCAGTGTGTACAACACCAACTACACCGATCAATTGCCAATCTGCGAAACATTTTTAATTATTATTATCACTTCGAGATGGCCAGGCCTACTCTCATGCTGTCTATATGTGATGATTAACTCTGAAAAACTAGGGACAACTGGGGAATGATCCCAGAACTCCAGAACCTCGAGATTTCGCGTCTCTTGCTCTACCAATTGAGCTACTGACCCTGATTCTCAGAGCGAAATCACCACTCATATACAGCACAATTTCATGCTTTGTGTGGAATATCATTTATCAGTTATTTAGAATATATATTCGCATTTATCCACACTCTATTTACATTACACGTACAACGTGATATCGTTATCAGTGCAGTGTGTACAACACCAACTACACCGATCAATTGCCAATCTGCGAAACATTTTTAATTATTATTATCACTTCGAGATGGCCAGGCCTACTCTCATGCTGTCTATATGTGATGATTAACTCTGAAAAACTAGGGACAACTGGGGAATGATCCCAGAACCTCGAGATTTCGCGTCTCTTGCTCTACCAATTGAGCTACTGACCCTGATTCTCAGAGCGAAATCACCACTCATATACAGCACAATTTCATGCTTTGTGTGGAATATCATTTATCAGTTATTTAGAATATATATTCGCATTTATCCACACTCTATTTACATTACACGTACAACGTGATATCGTTATCAGTGCAGTGTGTACAACACCAACTACACCGATCAATTGCCAATCTGCGAAACATTTTTAATTATTATTATCACTTCGAGATGGCCAGGCCTACTCTCATGCTGTCTATATGTGATGATTAACTCTGAAAAACTAGGGACAACTGGGGAATGATCCCAGAACCTCGAGATTTCGCGTCTCTTGCTCTACCAATTGAGCTACTGACCCTGATTCTCAGAGCGAAATCACCACTCATATACAGCACAATTTCATGCTTTGTGTGGAATATCATTTATCAGTTATTTAGAATATATATTCGCATTTATCCACACTCTATTTACATTACACGTACAACGTGATATCGTTATCAGTGCAGTGTGTACAACACCAACTACACCGATCAATTGCCAATCTGCGAAACATTTTTAATTATTATTATCACTTCGAGATGGCCAGGCCTACTCTCATGCTGTCTATATGTGATGATTAACTCTGAAAAACTAGGGACAACTGGGGAATGATCCCAGAACCTCGAGATTTCGCGTCTCTTGCTCTACCAATTGAGCTACTGACCCTGATTCTCAGAGCGAAATCACCACTCATATACAGCACAATTTCATGCTTTGTGTGGAATATCATTTATCAGTTATTTAGAATATATATTCGCATTTATCCACACTCTATTTACATTACACGTACAACGTGATATCGTTATCAGTGCAGTGTGTACAACACCAACTACACCGATCAATTGCCAATCTGCGAAACATTTTTAATTATTATTATCACTTCGAGATGGCCAGGCCTACTCTCATGCTGTCTATATGTGATGATTAACTCTGAAAAACTAGGGACAACTGGGGAATGATCCCAGAACCTCGAGATTTCGCGTCTCTTGCTCTACCAATTGAGCTACTGACCCTGATTCTCAGAGCGAAATCACCACTCATATACAGCACAATTTCATGCTTTGTGTGGAATATCATTTATCAGTTATTTAGAATATATATTCGCATTTATCCACACTCTATTTACATTACACGTACAACGTGATATCGTTATCAGTGCAGTGTGTACAACACCAACTACACCGATCAATTGCCAATCTGCGAAACATTTTTAATTATTATTATCACTTCGAGATGGCCAGGCCTACTCTCATGCTGTCTATAATATGTGATGATTAACTCTGAAAAACTAGGGACAACTGGGGAATGATCCCAGAACCTCGAGATTTCGCGTCTCTTGCTCTACCAATTGAGCTACTGACCCTGATTCTCAGAGCGAAATCACCACTCATATACAGCACAATTTCATGCTTTGTGTGGAATATCATTTATCAGTTATTTAGAATATATATTCGCATTTATCCACACTCTATTTACATTACACGTACAACGTGATATCGTTATCAGTGCAGTGTGTACAACACCAACTACACCGATCAATTGCCAATCTGCGAAACATTTTTAATTATTATTATCACTTCGAGATGGCCAGGCCTACTCTCATGCTGTCTATATGTGATGATTAACTCTGAAAAACTAGGGACAACTGGGGAATGATCCCAGAACCTCGAGATTTCGCGTCTCTTGCTCTACCAATTGAGCTACTGACCCTGATTCTCAGAGCGAAATCACCACTCATATACAGCACAATTTCATGCTTTGTGTGGAATATCATTTATCAGTTATTTAGAATATATATTCGCATTTATCCACACTCTATTTACATTACACGTACAACGTGATATCGTTATCAGTGCAGTGTGTACAACACCAACTACACCGATCAATTGCCAATCTGCGAAACATTTTTAATTATTATTATCACTTCGAGATGGCCAGGCCTACTCTCATGCTGTCTATATGTGATGATTCACTCTGAAAAACTAGGGACAACTGGGGAATGATCCCAGAACCTCGAGATTTCGCGTCTCTTGCTCTACCAATTGAGCTACTGACCCTGATTCTCAGAGCGAAATCACCACTCATATACAGCACAATTTCATGCTTTGTGTGGAATATCATTTATCAGTTATTTAGAATATATATTCGCATTTATCCACACTCTATTTACATTACACGTACAACGTGATATCGTTATCAGTGCAGTGTGTACAACACCAACTACACCGATCAATTGCCAATCTGCGAAACATTTTTAATTATTATTATCACTTCGAGATGGCCAGGCCTACTCTCATGCTGTCTATATGTGATGATTAACTCTGAAAAACTAGGGACAACTGGGGAATGATCCCAGAACCTCGAGATTTCGCGTCTCTTGCTCTACCAATTGAGCTACTGACCCTGATTCTCAGAGCGAAATCACCACTCATATACAGCACAATTTCATGCTTTGTGTGGAATATCATTTATCAGTTATTTAGAATATATATTCGCATTTATCCACACTCTATTTACATTACACGTACAACGTGATATCGTTATCAGTGCAGTGTGTACAACACCAACTACACCGATCAATTGCCAATCTGCGAAACATTTTTAATTATTATTATCACTTCGAGATGGCCAGGCCTACTCTCATGCTGTCTAATATGTGATGATTAACTCTGAAAAACTAGGGACAACTGGGGAATGATCCCAGAACCTCGAGATTTCGCGTCTCTTGCTCTACCAATTGAGCTACTGACCCTGATTCTCAGAGCGAAATCACCACTCATATACAGCACAATTTCATGCTTTGTGTGGAATATCATTTATCAGTTATTTAGAATATATATTCGCATTTATCCACACTCTATTTACATTACACGTACAACGTGATATCGTTATCAGTGCAGTGTGTACAACACCAACTACACCGATCAATTGCCAATCTGCGAAACATTTTTAATTATTATTATCACTTCGAGATGGCCAGGCCTACTCTCATGCTGTCTATATGTGATGATTAACTCTGAAAAACTAGGGACAACTGGGGAATGATCCCAGAACCTCGAGATTTCGCGTCTCTTGCTCTACCAATTGAGCTACTGACCCTGATTCTCAGAGCGAAATCACCACTCATATACAGCACAATTTCATGCTTTGTGTGGAATATCATTTATCAGTTATTTAGAATATATATTCGCATTTATCCACACTCTATTTACATTACACGTACAACGTGATATCGTTATCAGTGCAGTGTGTACAACACCAACTACACCGATCAATTGCCAATCTGCGAAACATTTTTAATTATTATTATCACTTCGAGATGGCCAGGCCTACTCTCATGCTGTCTATATGTGATGATTCACTCTGAAAAACTAGGGACAACTGGGGAATGATCCCAGAACCTCGAGATTTCGCGTCTCTTGCTCTACCAGTGCGGTGTTGTACACACTGCACTGATAACGATATCACGTTGTACGTGTAATGTAAATAGAGTGTGGATAAATGCGAATATATATTCTAAATAACTGATAAATGATATTCCACACAAAGCATGAAATTGTGCTGTATATGAGTGGTGATTTCGCTCTGAGAATCAGGGTCAGTAGCTCAATTGGTAGAGCAAGAGACGCGAAATCTCGAGGTTCTGGGATCATTCCCCAGTTGTCCCTAGTTTTTCAGAGTTAATCATCACATATAGACAGCATGAGAGTAGGCCTGGCCATCTCGAAGTGATAATAATAATTAAAAATGTTTCGCAGATTGGCAATTGATCGGTGTAGTTGGTGTTGTACACACTGCACTGATAACGATATCACGTTGTACGTGTAATGTAAATAGAGTGTGGATAAATGCGAATATATATTCTAAATAACTGATAAAAAGAGATTGAGTTTGAAAAACGGAAACACAGTAAAAGAGAACATACAGTGTACAAATTTCACTGTCTATAAGTCAGATAAGTATTATGTTTCAAATTGTCTGAACTTTATTTATCGCTAATATTATGAAGGTGTGCTATTTTATCACATTTTTGGGATTTTTGGGCAATAATCGCTCTTTTTTCGGCTTTAAAACTGTTTTTCCGGGACACTAGAGAACGTCATCTTTGGAATTCACTAATTCACTGCACACTTCTAACTATACTCCTGCCAATAAATACCACAAGACGGATATAACATATTATAAAGGGCATATTATACATATTATATTCAAAACAGTCGCTGTCTGGTAGTGTATCATGGAATGCCCGACCATTTCCTAACATGTACTATTAAAGTAGAAAACAATTAGCTGAATGAGGTCACGTTTAAACTTTAACTGTGTGCACAGTAAGTAAACAAATGGTATATTTTTACATCTGTGTGTGTGTGTGTGTTACTATTATTAAAGAATCCAAATCGGTGCTTTCCAAATCGTGTTTAACCGACCACAAACAGTCTGATTTGTTGGATAAACAACAGTTAACATTAACATTTCTTTGATTCTATGATATTTAAACTACTGACAGGACTGGATATCATAATATTAATTAAAGGTTAATGTTAATTAAAGGTGAAAGAACACTCTACTATTAGTTTATGCTACACAGACACATCGTATTAACACTCAGTAACCAATACAGTAGTTTCCAGAACAAGTATATTTATTAAACAGTTACAGGTGAGTGGGTGGGTAAACTACAAACCAGCTAAAACTTGATAGGGTTACACTTTAATTACAACGTGCCTTCTATTTTATGTGTAATTACATGGTTGCGTAGATCACTAGCTAACTTTAAATTGTGCCGGGAATTAAGTTTTACCAATTTCAACATGTTGTGGAGTTATTAGATAACTGGAATTAGTGAACTGGTATTGAGAACAATGCTGATAGAAATAGGGCATTTTATAGTTTTATGGAATTTATTTGTGAGACAAGTTATGTGATATAGTTATGTGATACCCATGTAATTGTAAGTTGTACACTCCACACACGCACAATAGGTCATTGTTCTGTGTGTTTTACAAGGCACCACCTATTAAATAAAAGCTTCACTGTGTTGAAACTCTAAACTACCAACCATTCCAACACCTGGTTACTGAAACCTGGTTACTGAAACCTGGCTACTGAAACCTGGCTCTGAAACCTGGATTTAAAACATCTGGCTGGTGAAAGTTAAAACACATTCCTCTCAGAACTCTAATACAATGAGACTTAATGCGATTGTCAGTATACCAGGACTTACAATGTTATCAGTAAAGTGAAGTGAAGTGAAGTGTGGAGTGTCTGTAACGCTTTGAAGGGGCCAGCGCCCAGCAGGTAAATAATAAGGAACACGTCATGTTCAAAATTAAATCTTGGTCATTCAAGAGTAGTCCTAAAACTGGGAACTGTTCACAAATTGGAGAATAATAAGTCTCGTGACTGAGTGTTTTATGTATGAAGAAGTGGTGGGAGACTGGACTTAACGTCTTTTATTCTTTCACAGTACATGCGCGTTTATGCTGAGACATTTTCATAGTCTCAATTATAAGTGCTTGCGACTAATTCACTATTTAATTTTATAGCGGGACGGATCAAATCCGATTCTCGAACAAATTGCAAATACCTGAGCTGTAAATTCCTGGGCTATAATTATAAATTATTAAATTACCTGAATTAGTTCGGTCATGAAGTGGGAGATGGGTTTGCCGATCCCATTACGTTTACACCACTGATCCAGCTTGTCCAGACGTCTCTGTAACCTCAGTCCCCACAAACTTCTACACAACTTCTCCTCTTTCAACACCTGTTAAACAGTATGACGTCATTAAGTTAGGCTGTGACGTCATAAAGTTAGGGCCGAGACGTCATACCATGCAGCTAGAGACGATAACGTCATTATTGGTGTAGAGAAATATTTTTAAGTGCAACTTGATGATGTAACTAATGATAAAGGTGCTGCAGGAATATGATGTAATGTGCGCAGAGAGGGACTGATCACGGGTCATATTGTCAGGAGTATTTGCGGTATGTCATACAAATGAAATCATCTTACGACTTACATATCAAACACTAATGATCGTTGCAAAACATCAAATTTCATTATCTAGAAAGTCGAAATTTGGGAGATTATAACCGGTCTATTTTCGAGTTATGATATAATAAAGCAATTTAGAAAAAAGGGGAAAGTCTGACAGCAGAATTTATGAGATCAAATAATTGTCTTTTCGAAAATTCAATTTGTACCAATATGGGCATAGGAATTAGGAGACGGTAGTAAAATCAAAGAAAATTCAATTTGTACCAATATGGGTATATACTATATAGTAGTAGACTATGAAGATACTTTAAATAATGGTACATACCACCGACCACGTTCAGAATTCATGAGATCAAATAATTGATTTTCGAAAATGCAATTTGTACCAATATGGATACTGGTAGCGGTAGTAGAACATGAATATTCTCTAGATAATAGTACATACCGCGTTTGATATCCAAGTGTTGATAAAGGAGAGTAGATATTGTATGATAACACGACGAGCCTCCTCAGGAACCAACATTCTGTACAGCAGAGTTGACATGATGGAGAGTACTGATATCACGTGATACACCTGGGGGTGAGTGTGTAACTTTAGTCATCAAGTTATTTTGGTTAGTAACTTTAGTCATCAAGTTACTTTGGTTATTAAATAATCATTAGTACTTTCTTCTTGTAACTGCATACTTGTAGATACTTTTAAAACTTTGAAGGTAAAAATAGTAAGAAGATCTCTAATATTAGAAATATTTGAGGGTATTTTTGTCAGTTCAGCAGATATATAAGGGTTATTACTTCACTAAGTGCATTTCAGAAGGATGTTGGTGGCAACATAGAATTAATTATGTGTCATAAAGTGACATATATGTCATCCTACATCAGAACCTCTGGGCTCAAATTTCAACCATATCTTTCACATTTAATCTAAGCTCACTACCAATATTATATCTATAATATATAACTGATGTAAATGTGCCGCTACCCCCCTTACAGTGCAGTGCCTCCCTAACAGTAACAGAAAAAGAGAACGCCAACTGAACAGCTCATTATCTCTCACAAAGACAATGTTTATTTCTTTAGACACAAAGTTCACATACTGTTTACACACACTCCCAGAGAGAGATGTAGTCACACGGCCAGCTCCAGCCTGGGGTGTGTAAAGGCACATGACACAAGGTTACATACCAGGGTTACATACCAGGGTTACATACCAGGGTAACATACCAGGGTTACATACCAGGGTTACATACCAGGGTTACATACCAGGGTTACATACCAGGGTAACATACCAGGGTTACATACCAGGGTTACATACCAGGGTTACATACCAGGGTTACATACCAGGGTTACATACCAGGGTTACATACCAGGGTAACATACCAGGGTTACATACCAGGGTAACATACCAGGGTTACATACCAGGGTAACATACCAGGGTTACATACCAGGGTTACATACCAGGGTTACATACCAGGGTAACATACCAGGGTTACATACCAGGGTTACATACCAGGGTAACATACCAGGGTTACATACCAGGGTTACATACCAGGGTTACATACCAGGGTAACATACCAGGGTTACATACCAGGGCTACATACCAGGGTTACATACCAGGGTTACATACCAGGGTTACATACCAGGGTTACATACCAGGGTTACATACCAGGGTTACATACCAGGGTTACATACCAGGGTTACATGTACCAGGGTTACATACCAGGGTTACATACCAGGGTTACATACCAGGGTTACATACCAGGGTAACATACCAGGGTTACATACCAGGGTTACATACCAGGGTTACATACCAGGGTAACATACCAGGGTTACATACCAGGGTTACATACCAGGGTTACATACCAGGGTTACATACCAGGGTTACATACCAGGGTTACATACCAGGGTTACATACCAGGGTTACATACCAGGGTTACATACCAGGGTTACATACCAGGGTTACATACCAGGGTTACATACCAGGGTTACATACCAGGGTTACATACCAGGGTAACATACCAGGGTTACATACCAGGGTTACATACCAGGGTTACATACCAGGGTTACATACCAGGGTAACATACCAGGGTTACATACCAGGGTTACATACCAGGGTTACATACCAGGGTTACATACCAGGGTTACATACCAGGGTTACATACCAGGGTTACATACCAGGGTTACATACCAGGGTTACATACCAGGGTAACATACCAGGGTTACATACCAGGGTTACATACCAGGGTTACATACCAGGGTTACATACCAGGGTTACATACCAGGGTTACATACCAGGGTTACATACCACCAGTTGTTAGATCATTGTTTGTAGGCACACACTCAAACCAAGTACATAAACACTTAAGCTTTCAGGAACAAGGTAGAAAAACAAGACTGTATGTTTATGTAATTATTGGTTCAAGTTCTATGTGCCTAGCTTTTCATAATAAGAGAACGGCTAATTTGACCCTTGTTCCTTTGTACCAAGCTCATCACTCTATTCTGTTTACCATCCATTGTTTTCTTTTTTCTTGTACATAAATGTCCACTACACAGAAACACATACGAAGTCTTCCTTTTATTACCAAAACAGAGGAAATATCCAAATATTCCAAACATTCTCCACGAAACACCTGCCCACCTGCCCCTCATCGTATTAATGAAATATTCCCAATATTTCAATATTATACTCTCTGTAATTGTAGTCAGCAGCGGGGATCATTGCACACAGCTAACAACTCCTAACACATATAAAAGTAACAGATCTCCAGTACAAGACAACAACCACCCTCCCTCCCTCTATTTCTTACTTTTTGAACCAGGTGGGTTCTTTTCGAGGAAAACAGTCTCAGTCCTTACCTCTCGTTATTACATTATCCCATTAAGTGACAGTTACACCAACGCACGTGCTCTCTATCGCGCGCATCTACACGTGCAGACTCACTACTGTAGTCTGGCACACACGCACGTGGTGTATTTATAGTAACACCAGGAAGTGGAGGACTGGAGTCACGTGGTGTCGTAATGGGTCTGTGTGTAATGTTTTGGAGAGCTCTGTAGTAAGTGAAATCTAGATTTCTAACTTACAAACCTGAGTTTTAAGGAGTTCGTGATACACATTGAGTTTAATATAAGTAAAATTTGAATCTACCTTACTCGGGATTATTACGACGGGTTTATTAACGACCGGTTAAAATATGGTTCGGGAAAAATATGGCGAAATTGCTCAAAACCCACCACATTTTCCCGGTCGCCATTTTACCGGTGTCCAACCTTTCAATTTTAGATTCAAAAATTTTGTCTCAGATGTAAATTTCCTTATTAGAGATAAGCAAGTTTAGAAATTTTCGCATTGCTAAAACTTGTGAAACAAGTAGAATTATCAATAATTGTCGAAAGTAGACAGAAATAATGACTCGTGGTTAATCAAACTAGATGGAAAATAATTTTTAACATTTGAAGCGTAACAACCAGATCGATATTAAGATAAAGGGAGAGCTGTTTAGTCTTCCAATAAGTTGTAATCATCTTCGTTATCTTCATCTGGATCATCCCTTTCATCAGTTTTAATTAATTCAAGTTTTAATTTAACTGTTACTTTTACTTTGAGTCCTATTTCATTATGTAGAGATAGTCAATACCTAAGAAATTAAAAATTGGCCTATTTAAATCAAATTTGACAATAAGGGTATATGACAAGAATTGGGCAAAAAGGTGAATTTTTTGCAATTTTAGCCAAATGAAGTCGAAAAACCTACAACAAGTGTCCCAATAGTCTTCTTTAGTGAATATAAGACAACGATTAAAATATGAGCACCCATACCCCTTGGGAACCCTAAAAGCTGAGTAGGCGGGTTTATTAACGACCGGTGAAAATGTGGTTCGGGAAAAATATGGCAAAATTACCCTAAACCCACCACTTTATCCCGGTCATAATAATCCCGAGTAAGGTAGATCAACTCAACGTGTTTAGTTGCCTGAATCTCAATATTAAATTACTTTCCTTGACGCTCGTGTGATTCTGTTAATTTCAAACTGTTCAAGGAATACAATATAGTAGTAATGTTCAAGGAAGTATGTTTCAGAGGATGTAGGTTTTCAGATAGGGGCTAAGAAGACGGAGGCAATTCACCAACAACTTCATTAAACTGGACAAATATGGAACATAATATTATATTTTAAGATTCAATCCGAAATTAGTCTACAACGTTGCCAACTTCAGAATTAAACGAATTGCTTAGCGGTATTTGTGCCAGCTCTATCTGATTAAACACAAGCCAACATACCGCAATGTTTACAGATATACAGTCCGTAGAACATACTACACCATCCCTTGGGATTATTAACCTGTCATCAGTTCTTAACCAGGGAGACAACTACTCAACTCACTTACTCACAACTTACCAGATATATGATAAACCCCGTACGATTTGAAACTTGTAATGATCGCGCAGGAGAAAGTTGAGATTATTGGGAATATTGGGGGTAATCTCATAATATGTGTTTCGAGCCCTTTTCATTGACCGGTGTAGCAGTGAATGAATGGAGCCCAGGTATGGAACATAGAAGATATTAGATTTGGTACATTACATATATGTGACCTGGGGGGTCCGCAGAAAGTTCCGAGATGAAGTTAACTGAATTTAGACTTAACAAAATCAGATGATGTACACGCTCATGATTCGGATAGGGATAGAAGGTTAGACTAGATGTTTGGAAATTAGTGTCATTAGTTTCAATGTTTATACTGGTACGTGACATTTAGTACCTCTTATTTAGCGAGAGAGATTACCCTCAGATGGCGAACAATAATCCCAAATTTGAGATACTGCAGTGTACTAATTAAATATGGAACAAATCAGAAGATCTGGTGCGAATAAAAGGGCCTGGAATGCAGTATAGCAGTTATGTAAAGATGTAACTGAATTATGTTACATATATGTACTCAGGGGACAGGTACTGGCTTACACTAAGTTCAACTATCATAATCTTACATTCCAACAGAACTTGGGAACTTCCATTTTTGTGGATCTTTGGGGAGAGTCCAATAAGACTAGCGTGTAGAACTTTACGGAAGTCCCATTACATCAGACATATTAGCATTTACATAACTTAAGTAATACAGAGCAGATCTGCAGAGTCAACAACGTTGTCAAGGAGATCAATCTAACGTTAAACATTCACATCATCTGAAATCCAAATAGTTAAAACACTACACTTACCCTGCCGTCATCGGAGAAGTTCCCGTACTGGTTTATCAGTTCCTCCAGTGACTCGGTTAGTAAGGACGCCATCTCAGCCTCTTCAACCAACAGGTCACCACACACGCTACCCTGTGTATCGGCCTGCAACAGGAATGTTACATACTTTATATTGTGCAGTGCGCATATTGTACATGTACAGATTATATAATGTACAATTTGTACATGGTTATGTACAATAACGTACACGATCATCATTGGATTTGGCCTAGTGGCTAGTACATTCTTGCACAGGAACCGAGATCACTAGAATTTAAGTTATCATGGGATAGCTCTAAAAATCTCATGAGACTGAATGATGATCACATGATTCCTCATTATCACGTGATTTATCACGATCACGTGATTCCTCAAGATCACGTGATTCCTCATGATCACGTGATTTCTCTCATACCTTCATAACTGTCTCCTCCGGAAGCTTGGTATCTATATCAGAGTCCAGCAGGAACATGTTGAGATAAGGAATGAGCTGCTCAGTACAGGAGTCAATGCTGGACTTTATAGCAACTTTAACAACTGGACCCATATCAGCCTGGGCACGTGTTTAATGTGGTTACAAGAGAGAGAGAGAGAGAGAGACAGAGAGAGAGGGGGGTAATAAGGGGGGTCAGAGTTGTTGATGTAAGAGGGCGTGTCATTTAAATGTGATACATCATCATAGTGTTGTTAGCTTTATTAAATGTGAGGTGAGTGTCATGTTGTAATGACTTAATGTTTTGGCATCAATATTGAGGAATCTCGGGGCTTTTAGAATCAATATCGAGAACTCTCGGGCCTTCCAGAATCATCTCCTTCAAATTTAAGTTCACAATCTGACCGCTGCAAATCACAGGTCTGACGGACTTAAATTGCTGAACCAACATTCCAGCAGATTTCTAGTAAAAACTAGAAACCTACTAGATCAAGAAGTTTGGTAATTTAAACCACCTGACGAGTAGTAGTTATGATAAAATACCTGGTCTTTGAAGGCAGATAGTTTAGGGTGCGTCTGCAGGAGATGGTAAAGCTCTAAAGTATTGGTCAGCCAAAACAATGAACCTCCAACAAACTCCTTGCTCAACTGAAACAATAAAACCGATTAGATTGTTCTAGAAACAAATTGCAACAGCCAATAGAACGTTTTGTGTGATCTTGTTTTGTTAAAAAGGAGTGCAGCCCGTTCCAAATATGTAACCAATATTCGGTAAAAGCAATCAGTATTTTATGTATAACTAAATCTAAAAATAACTGTTTACCTGTATTGCGCCGAGATAGTAATCAATAACGAGATCTAACGCTTCTTTACAGATATAACTCTCGTCCTGTGCAGCGCCGTGAAGGATAGCGTACATAGCGTAGGTGGGGCTAAACATTGTCTGAGGGCACTCCTGAAACACAATATCGAGTGTTAAAGAGCACTCCTGAAACACAATATCTAGTGTTAAAGGCTCAATTTATTCCCCAGATCCAGATCGGGTGTTAAGGTTCCGTTATTAGTATTATGTGGTGAAATTTACAGTCCCGGTTAACTCTTCTATTTATAAAAACCGAGACTTAACCGCATCAGAATATCACATCGTATCAGGCGAATATCTTAATATAGAATTAAATGCCAAATTCCGCGTGTTCTACATATCTTTTAATTGAACCTGTATTTAAAACCCATAATTTGCGTGAATATCCTAAAGGCTACAAACTAATTATGAGTTATGGGAACAGGTGTTTAGCTGAGCAGATAACAATGTTGTGTACATTATCCACACAAAACAAACACGTGATAGCACGTGATAGCACGTGTAAAACATTCCATACCAACTACACTACATTCTACAGCTCTCATCAACTGCAAACTTGGTAATCTTCAATTACGGTTGATTAACGTTCCCGCGAAAACTATGTTTAAGTAAATGTCGCATTTTTTGGCGAACATAAGACACGATTAAAGTTTCTAAATCTGTCATATGAGAGTTAATTAAGGGGGGGGACTCAAGTAACATCAAATCATCCTCATTAGTCAACGCCGCTAGAATTACATTAAAAGTTATTTTACCAATATTTCGTTACAGTCGTGTGTTTAAAGGTTGAACTATTAAGTTTCCTAACCAGAACTATTAGGCTCGTTCCCCCGGTTATAGCTTCCTTAACCTACTTTTAATTTTTTAAGTCATTCTACATTCCAGAAACGTTTCAAATGTGTGACGTAAAGGGTTCTATTAATGCTTTTCATACAAGTTACAGCATATCATTATCGGATCTGGACTGAGAATGAAGTTACAATTATATAAAGTGTCACTTCACACCTAGTGTCATGTAACCTTGTGCAAGGAAAAAGTCATGAAATCTTAGAAATGTGAAATAAGAATTACACCTTTTCAGATCAAGACCCAGCCCACTGCCAAGTCAATAATAACTAGAATCGTGTAGGATATACACGAGATTTACTGAAACCCTCTGAAGAGAGTCGTACATTACTGAACTAGACGGGGCTTCCTGCAGATTTAATTTTCTCAGTTAAGCTAGCAGCCTGCTAGCAGTCTGATTATAAAGAAGGAAGACTCTTTTGGAATGTGGTCAAGTTCCACCTCTCTGGTGTAATTAGATTATTTAGTGTCTGAGCGATGGTGGCTATTAAAGGGGAGGCTATTACGGTGACCATTGCAGCTGGGTATACGTACTGTAGTTCGACACGCACTCTAGTTCGACAAACCCTAAGGTTCGACTCTGTCGAACTTAAGTGCGCTACTTGGACTCAAGGTCGACACGTACTAAAGTTCTACAAGAAAACTTCGACTGTCGAACTAGAGTACATTCTCACATTTATTCTGCTGTATCCAATGAGGTCTAAAATGTACCGAACTCTATAATCCATATCTTTGAACATTTTATTAAATAATAGAAAATTGTAGACTTAGCGGAGAGATAAAAGACTATCGTGGAAACTCGTACGCCGTTTTATAGATCTAGATTGTAGAGTATGCTAGCTATAAATATCTACAACATACCACACTTTCTATTGAGATATTATCACATACGATTAGTCACCAGGTACCGGTCTAGAGATTTAGCTGCTGAGCCGGAAAATGGGATACAGTCGGATATCAATTTATTTTGGACTCTAGTTCGACACGTACCCAAGTTCGACAGGTATGTAAGACATCTGGCGAACTTATGTTGTCGAACTATAGTGCGTGTTGAACTAGACTACGTGAATCCCATTGCTGGATGAAAATAGGGAGGGAACTGGGGAATGCAGAATATCTAGATATAAATAGGTGTGGAACTGTGTGTAGCTGGATAGAATCAGCTGATTATTGAGTGTGGTGAAATGTTTGGCAATACTCCAATAGGGGAGGGGTACTGTATTAGATTGAGTGTAAACTAACAAACTATACTTGGAAGCTACTGTCTGGGTGTTAACTTCCTTATCATTACGAAGGTATGTTTAAAGTAACGTGACCTTGTAGACATACAAAGAGCATTGAACTCTAAAATTGATTTTAAAGGTCTAAAGAATGTGGGATGATGAGTGTTCAAATAATGGAGATACCATTACAGCGCTCCCTAATGCCTGATCTCCCCAGTCCTAATGTAATGGAATGTTATTATGGTTATTAAGTGTACACGCTAAAAGAATGTCAAGTATGTTATCTAGGAACAGCCACTGAACGGCCCCCTTCTCGCATTTCAGGCCCGAAATATGCACTCAAAATGCTATCAAATTACACAGGGATACATTAATGAAGGGTAACCACGGCCCCCGCAAAAACTGTGCTACTTGTTAAATACCACGGAGACAGGGACTGTAATAATAATAACAAATATTTCTAATAATAACAAATATTTCTGTAACAAATATTTCTAATAATAACAAATATTTCTGTAACAAATATTTCTAATAATAACAAATATTTCTAATGAAAGGTGCCTTAGAATAGTATCTAGGTAAATTGGGACGAAGACCTCATGAAGAGATTTTGTTCAGTCAAAAAAGGGCAAATATGGCAAGGAAATTAGATTATTGACTAGCATGTTGTTATAATTTAACCGTTTAAAAGTAACTTGAATGGAATTCGGTTATCATTAGTGAATCAATCTGGCATGTAACATAGATGCGATCTTCAACAGAATCCGTCGATAATTCGTTCAAATAGACACCGCCATAATATAATCATCACCCACCTTGTATACGATAGTATCCAGGATAGTTTCTATATTAGCCGGATCGAACACGAAGAAGACAGGAAGTATAAGCTCTAGATCTGGTTCTGAGGGTTCCAAGGGAGGAGCAGTCTGCATGAGGTCCAGTGTATCATTTGTTACCTGCCAATATTGTGTGGTTAAAAGAGATGCTCAATATTTTTACAATTTAAAATTGAAACTAACATTCCCAACAACAGGGAGTTGCCCGAGTTTGTCAGGGATTATTTCTAGACAAGTAGACACTTATTCAAGACCAAGTACAAGTTGGTACCTGAAGTTCCAGGGACACTGGGAGAATGTTAAGCTCGTCCAGGTCCTCGACAATCATAGCAGCTTCATCTAGTTCAGGGCTACTTCTAGACCATCGGGGGTCAACTGGAGTAGAGATCTCAGCGTCCTTCGGAGAGTACTCTTTGGGTGGAGGAGAAGAAGGCCTTTTCTTGGTCAGCCAGTTGATTTGAGTGTAGACTGGGTCTTCTTTCTCTGGTGGAGCTAAATCAATTGGTTGGAAAGGCTCCGGGGTTTCGTCAAATCCAACATCAGGTTGCTCTGGCAAGGGAGGAGTTGGAAGTGGACAGGTTGGAGGTCCGTCTCTAGGGTCATCTCTTCTGTCGCGATGTGGAGGACGATCGGATCTTTGATCCCGACGTGGATCTCTCCTATCTCTAAGATCATCCCTGGGATCGTATCTCCTATCTCTAGGATCGTATCGTGGATCAGAGCGCCGGTCTCTGGTATCAGGTCTTCTATCACGTCGATCTCTGGGATCATCTCTACGGTCCTTGTGATCGTCGCCTCTGGGCCCATCCCTGGAAGATGGTCGGATGTTGGGATCCCCTTTCATTCTGGGGTGATCTCTGTCTCGTGGGTCTGGTCTCCGATCTCTCGGATCTTCTCTTCTCTCTCCCCGGTGTCTGTGATCTCTAGGATCAGGTCTACCCCGTGGATCGCCGGAACTTTCTCTACTTCTGGGAACATCTCGAGGATGAGGATCTCGACCATCTGGACCGTTCAGCTCACCACTGTACCTGGGATGTCTACCACGATCTCTAGGACCACGTGTGTCTCGTGAGTCTCGCCGACTGGGCGACCTAGGACCATTACGGGGGTCATCTCTTCTAGGTTCCCTATTCCTGGGATCCACACTTCGAGGATTAACCGTAGTTCTAGAGTCGAGTATTTCCCGAGGAGGCCTGTCCCAAAGTGGCCGTTCTCTGGGAACATCCTGTGGAGGAGTTGGTTGTCTGTTCCTATCACGGGGATGTACTGTAGTGAACTGGAATTCAGCTGGTGGTTCTGAACCATTGACCAGGGGCAGGTTCTCCTGATCCTCCACTTGAGGTGGTCGAGCTTTAACAGGAAACTCTGACTCGTGGTTAGCTACTACGGGTGGACGGTCTGATGAAACACTGATCCTGGGTTTGTTGAGCTCCCTGAAGGTCTGATCTGCAATGCTGTTTGGGTTGCTGTCACGTGATGGTGAGTCTCGTGGAGGTGGGTCTCCTCCGATCTCTGTTTCCTGTGGAAAATAGCCTGTTATAATTGACCTACTTAGAAAAGTGAATACCATAATCGAAGTAATTAGTGATATGACAAAGGTAACAAGATGTAAATCTTTAAATGATAACTGTACATCCAAAAACGTACCTTTCTGAGGGTAGAAATCCTCTCAACGTCACCTCCTTTCACACCAAACACAGGTCTCCACATTCTCGGAAGTGTTAGAGTCCCTGTCCCTCTGATCCACCACTGGCACGAAGCTGTCTATTGTCCCTTGTAGTACTGATCAGGTTGTGCCCGGTTGTTTCTCAACCCCCTACCGTCGTCAGGACGCTCGAAATACGGCACTACAAATTGAAACTTGTAGCTCCGTCCGATAGTGATGACGTCATCAGGGTGGAGCGGGACGGAGTCCGGGATCCGGGTACCATTGACAAAGGTTGGTTCGGAGGAGCAGGGGTAGATTATCATACAGTAGGGATCCTGTTTTATTATACAGTGCACCTACGAATATTTAGATAATTCAATTTGTATTGTGGTAAAATCCTGTTATAAACATATTGATAAATATTTCTGTAATCAATCTGGTGATCTATTCATTCTTATCATTCCAAGATAACAGGATTAAAGATGAAAATAAATCGTATCCGGAAACGCCCATTTAACCTACCTGATCAACATCCGGGCCAGGAAGGAACAAATAGTTAAACTTGTTCTGTCTCAGAGATCCAATCTCGGTGATGTGGTTGTCAAGATAGAATATAATGGGTGGCTCTCCCGGTCTTGCGTTTATCTCCAACAGATACGGCACATTCTTTGCATAATTTGGGGGTCTCTGAAGGTAATTGTTAGATGATAATGAGTTTGAAATTAGAGTCCTTAACACTCAATTACTGCAAACAGCAGATAAATCGTATTCATTGCAGTGGTCAAGTATCTCAAAATGTTAGATTTGATCAGATAGATTTAGATTTGGACACTAGTAAAGTTGTTCAAGTATTACATAATATTATAAGAACTATAATCACCCAAGATAAAATACATAAGAGATTCTGAAGCTAGCTGGGATCAAAAATGATGCATGTTAAGAAAAAAAAGTGGTGAGAATTTAATTTTACTCTAGATAAGATTAGATAAAACATAATATGTAAATTAATAACTAATATGTAAATTAATAACTAATATGTAAATTAATAACTAACCCTTCTTGAGAGCGTGCCATCGTTCCGAGACTGCATGAGGTCCTCATCAAACTCATCAGGGATATCAGGGAATGCATTGAGCGGCCTTCTCCTCATTTCAAATGTTATACTTGTGTCGGTGTCTCTCTTCTTCAAGATCGCCATAGGACAGTCATTGTTGCTTAATAAATGTTCGTCAGCCTGAAACAAAGAAATTTAGTTGTAAAGTAGCTTAGTAATTAGTTTGAACTTTCTTAAAACTTTCATTTATTATAGTGGAGTATTATCAGTTTTTATCTAACGATAGTGCTGCAATGGAAAAGCTTTTGTGCTGGCACATAACTTTGAATTCCATTGCAATTAAGTCTGTCTCGTATCATGACTGATAATAATTTTATAATCGCTATTTATAGCGACTGAAACGCGAAAAGCGAAAGCCAATAAAGGTAACGTAAACATTTTGTGATTGAATCACAGCACAATTTATCACAAGTTAAAGGTTAGAGATATGAAACTAGTAAATATAAGCTAGCCCCCCCCCCCCCCCCCCCCCCGAGCTAGGTACCTTGCCAGTGTCGCCTCTAACAGTGATCTGGAAGAGAGCAAACTCCTCCGGACCACAACCCCTGATATCATACTTCTCCAACATCTCCTTCAGCACAAACCAGGCATTATCCGTGTTGGAGACCAGCAGTGTCTTGTAGGGTTGGTTACTGTTGATGGTGTCTGCGTGCACACGGAGTGGTCCTCCAGTGGGCTCGGCCGAGTCCTTGAAGAAACCTTCAGTTTCTGATCTAATATTGCTTTCCGGTGCCTTTGTAGCTGTAGCACTGAAAATCGATGTATAGGATTAGAAGCGAGTACCCTAGATTGAGTTTTTATTGTGAGAAAAGCTGGACATAATCTTTAGCTTCATTCTTGACAGGCCATTTCTATTTCGTCAAAAAGATGACTAGTATCACATTATATAAAATATCCTACCATTACTGTTGGCCTTTTTAAAGGTGGCCACATCCCCAAACACGTCTTGTGAGATAGGAACGTCGCTGTGAAGTTTTAGAACAAATCGACCATCACTCCTGTTGCTACCCCACTCCAATTGAATTTGTATGGGGAACATATCTGGTTCTAATTCTAGTTCCGCTGAAATTTTAAAACTGAGTTAAAACTTAATGTTTAATGTAGTTACAAAAATTTTAATAGCTCACTTTAATCTAACTCACCTCGTCAAATAATTTTAGAACCTATACTTACGTGAACCCAAGTGAACTTCATAGACATTCAATCGATGTGGGTTTAAATCACGATGAAGCGAAAACTTTTCCTTCAGGATACTTTTTAGTTCGTAAACATCAGTTAGACTGGAAATCCTCACACATTTACTGCTATATTTGTTGTCTGGTTCTTGAAGAAATACTTGGATAACCCCAAAATATTCCATATACTGAAAATGGAAATTATAAGACTTTTTTTAATGATATGATAATTTAGTGTACAATTTAAACATAATTAATGTCCAATTACTTACTTGATAAAAATGATTGTTATAATTTTGAAAAAGCGATATCAACGATTTTTGATAAGCATACCTTGTCAGGAAAAGTCATATGAAAGATTTCCTTTCGCTCACTGTTCCAATCCTTAATCTTTTTACTAAGCTTCTCCCATAGCTGATATTCAGGGGTATTAGTGTAGTCTTCAGGCTCTGCAGATTTATTTCTGCCACCTCGACTTTAAGGGTGCTCTGATCGTGTTTGTTTTCTTGAACAGGATGCTGATTGTCGGGTCTGTTGTTCACTGGTTCAGGATAGTGTTGTCCATTTCCTCTAGGATTATATCGATTATCTCTGCCATCTCTCATGTCAGATGAGTTACTTGGGTATCTTGGTCGATAGACATCACTAGATCGTTCCCTGTCATAATGAGGCCTTCCATTTTGTTCCCTGTGTCTCCCTATATGAGACTGATGCCTCTGAAAATGTATGCATATCAATGTTTAAAAAACTCAACGCCATATTCAACCAAGAATAAAAACAGGTTTGAGCCTGAAGCAATAAATTTGTGCTACATTAAAGTAGTACAAATAAACTTACATTTTTGTTATCAGATCTTGAATGATTTGATGGTCTGCCATTATTGGTTTGAACTATGTGATTATCCTGAGAAAAAGTATCATCATTATTGGAAATCTAGGACAATGTTGATCAATTATCTGACCAATTTATATGCACAAAATACCTTTTGCATCAAAACTGTTTAAAAGCAGGAAATCCAATAATCAATAAAAATGTAATATAGACCGTTCTGAATTACCTGTGGCTCATTATTCCTGTAGGACATTTCTCTAGTGACATATTTATGGTCCCATATCCTTCAAATAAGAAAAGTTGTTAAATTGATCAATGATGACATAATTCATAAAGATAAATTCAAAAAATATACACATAATATTACAATGACCCTATATAAATTCATATATAATTCATAAAGATTCAATTGATTCACTCGAATGAATATTCAATAATTAAGATTATATTTATATAATTAATTATATAAATCTAAATTATAAATAAATAATAAATATATCATAATAATTTAAACTTTAAGAATATAGTGGCACAACAACTTAAAATGCACAGGTGTGCCACGAAAAAGTAAAATACAATTTTTATTTTCCACAGAAGAATCAATACATATTGAATTATAAATATCCTATAATTCCATTAATAATCATTAAAAGTTGCTTTGTCATTTGTAAAATTAAAAACGAAAAGCCGTACGCTGAACTGTGAACGCGTACAGCGTTTTTTCTGCGGCTGCCTAGCTTCAAGCTTGTAGCCGCTAACATCAAAGCCGCAGCGCGCGCCCAGTGCTGGGGTGCATTCTCATTAACAATTAAACTTGGTCAAAGATAGTTATATACAATTCCTAAATTAAATCAATAATCATGTTAATATGAGTATTCAACACTACTCGACAACAAATATTTGCCGGCCCATCAACGATTCAGTCGCCGAAACAAAAATCAAATGTTTGCTTTTTCGTTTCAGAGACTATTTGAACTCAGTACTATATCCGACTAATCATACTTTATAATGGTTAAAATACAAAGTAAAAAGATTTTCCTCGATGGGCCGGCATTCGCAACCGCGAAACGTTTTGAGTACGACAAACGATGACACCACCACCAGCCGTTAATTAATAAGTCCATGGGTGACGGGATAAAGTTAAAGTAAGATGTGTAATTTCATATTGCCTATCACCTATCACCAAAGTTACTTTGCATATACTGCTTCTAGTTACACGATAGCGATCTCAGTTCCCAATAACGTGTGACCCAACAGAAGGGATTGTGGAAGGACACGTACATTTTTCATTAACACGTGCCCTGATTACACCATTCTCATAAGAAAACAACTTTATCTTTAACACACATTTAACTCAACTTAGTTCAAACTCCTCTTTGAATGACCATATCAATCGCCCGAATTATACTTTTGTCATGATATAAACTTTTAGAAGGATTCTTTGGACTAAATTTACATCGGTAAATGTTAGAGTCAACAACAATATGTAAGTACTTATCTTTAAGTAGCACATTACATTGTATTAAAGTATAGAATGTAAGATAAAACGGTATCAGATGAACTAATCATTGAATGATCTAATTAAATATAATATTGATAAAACTAAAATAATACAGACCAGAAGCAGAAAATGAGTAAGCAATGGAAATGCTGCAAACAAAACTTTATTGTCAAATCTAAAAGAGCTAATAATGTGACTAATTATCAGCCGTCCTCCTGATTTATAAGTTTGGATAAACGAATAAATCATGATATTTATTAGGAAGAGAGTAAGATTTGACCTTTTGAGAACAACAGTCATAGCTCTTAGAGGAGAGAGAGGGTTAAAAAGTAGTAGTGCAGTATTATAACCAACATTGCTATTATAACGGCCAGGTAGCGCAGTTGGTTAGAACGCCTGTCTTACAATCGTTAGGTTGCGAGTTCGAAACCCACTGACTGCCTGGTCGTGGGGTGAGCGTCGTCGACGTTCAGCTAAGGATCATGAGTGGTCTATGCAGCCCCCCGGTCTACTCAGCCGAATACTCGAGAAATCGGGTGTGAGGGTTAAATGAGGAGCTGCACATTGCAGCAAAGTCTCGGACGAAGAAAGTATGGTACACACTACCTTAACCGTCACTGGCCAAAAAGATCCTTCGGCTTCCTGTAATTGGCTGGTTGCACTTGTGTAACATTGTGGCTGTTGGAATACACCGAAGTAAAATAAGTGTCTAGAAAAAAAACCAACATTGCTTATATTCTGCCTTGTAAACAAAGAGCAAATCTTCTTAATGCCTTCTTCCTGTCCTAAAACTAAAACTTCATCCTATTAAAGTAAAGGCCAGTTGTTACCACAAGCTATTATACCGTCCCTCTCAAAAACATGCCTCAGCCTCCACCAAAAACAATTTTAGTTTTCAGTCCTTCTAGTTTCCAAAAATCTACCGAGCTAGTGTTCTGGTGTGCACAAAAGCCCCTAAGCCCGTGCATTCCTTGCCCCGCTAGCTGCCAGTCCTTGACAAACTTCCAATAGCAAAGATCAACTAGTCATTTACAAATTGAGCACTATACAATTTTAATTGTTTTAAATATTTGACTTTGTAAAATGAGCTAAAACATTGATTTATTAGTTTCATTGATTTATTAGTTTCATTGAGTAAAAATAGAAGAATTAGATATAAATTTGGAGCCAGTTCTTTAAACTGGCTTACTTAAAGGGTGTTTATAAATTTTATGTAGTTTTCTATTGCATTTATATTGAATTTTTATATAGGGTAATTGTTATATTATGTGTATATTGTTTGAAATTCTTCTCTGATATAATGGAAACATGTGTTCTACCACATCGATTGCATGAACCTAGCCTGTGTTAAAATCTAACAGGACTTGATAGGTCTTAAGTGGCGAACTTTAAGAGTGGAATCAGCAGCTACACCTTACATTCATTATATGTCTGGTAGCCGGTACATAGTAGGTCTCACTATTGCATTATGCCTTGGTTCAGTGGTCAGCCCATTTCAATGTAATGAACTTTTAAAACTTATATTTAGCCATCCAGGGTTTTGTTATTCATCATACCATGTTATCATAACATGTTATCCGGGGTTATTCATCATACCATGTTATCTTCTGCCCAAATTTTGCTTAAAACTTTAACAACGAATAAAATCACCTTCGTACAACAAAGAATCGTGACATACATGAATGAGGCTATGAATCTAGTGCGTTTATGAGACGAAAATGAAACCAAAAGTTGCGTCTGACTAAGCTCATTACGATACTGTAATAATTATTTCAAAATATTCAAAATTTTAGGAGTTATAGGCATTTTAAGCAATAAATTACCCATTTTTCGTCCTTTGTACATTCTTGTAATGCACAGGAGGGCCACATATAGCTCGACGTTATTTTGCTACACGGTGAATTTGCATTATTCACACTTAGAGGCAACTTTTGGTACCAAATTTATCAAAATCAGAGACAAAAAATTCTGTGCCAACTCATGGCGCTTATTACATAGACTATACACAGGAGGAGCAAAGTGCAAAGAAACTGTCACTAACTGCTACTAACTGCTACAAACTGCCACTAACTGCCACTAACTGCCACAAACTGCCACTAACTGCTACAAACTGCCACTAACTGCTACAAACTGCCACTAACTGCCACTAACTGCCACTAACTGCTACAATAGCGCCCACGCACTGCGCGCGCCGTTTGCAGCAGTTAGTGGCAGTTAGTGGCAGTTAGTGGCAGTTTGTAGCAGTTAGTAGCAGTTTGTAGCAGTTAGTGGCAGTTTGTGGCAGTTAGTGGCAGTTGCGCCGCGCCTTTTAGCAATTTGTCTTTGGCGCCTTACATGTCACATAACTTATTGACATTGTATTGGTCTCAAAACAATTTTATATTATTAGAACATATATGAATTTGGGACAAAATAATTTACTATCGAAGGAAATAAATATTAACTTTTTGACAAGAAAAGCGAAATTACTAACTACAGTTACACAAACACTGCATGGCAATACGATTACAAATTGTTTAAATTTTAAATCTGGGTATCGCTTATTGTGCTATTGTGCTATTGTGCCAAAATTACAATATTATATGGTCAATCGTAATCATTTGCAATTTGGTAGACCCCTCTGCTGATATGTAAACGACCCCTTTTACTAACTTGATTGTAGCAAACTGCGTGATGTTTATTGATCATCAGTTCGATAGGACGATAGTTATGAGAAAAGCTACAAAACTACAATTTCCATAACCAAAGTTTTAGAACTAAACGCTTGATTGAGGGTTCAGAACTTTCCTTGAATAACAGGGCCTCCCTCGGATTAAACAGTTTTGTGCGGAGAAAGAAGTGAAGAGAGTACGAAGCCAAAGAGTTCTCCGACAATTGTTCCAGCCAGCCTCACCGCAGCAACGCCAACAGCAAGCAGGGACTTATCCTAATCCATGCAACCTATACAACGCTGACCAAGAATGGACACAGGACATGCCACGGTACCACTATAATATTTAATTTGATTCTCCGTGATAGCACTAGCAGTAGCAGAATTTGCTGCTTGTAATTCCTGGGCGTTGCTGAACCTGTCATTCCGCCCTATCTGCTATGCCTATTGCCTATAGACATATTTTTAATCGCCATAATATGTTCAATGTTAAATCAATGTGTTTAACTTAATAAATGCAAAAGCCTGAGCGAGGTACCGTACCCAGGTAAATTAATCTTTGCAAGTTGAATTTGCGTTTCTGAAACCACTCTCTGCACTGGTAATTGTATTTAAAAGGGAACACAAAATGATGTACGTGACCAAAATTATTCCCCGCGCGACGCGATAACTGATAAGATTCTCTTTCAACATTCAGTTTCAGTTAATTCTGGGTAATTCGCGCGTAAAATCATATTGGCACGTGTGCGTTCCATGTTCTCAGAATTAGGCAACGGTAAGTTTATAATCTTTAACTTTAACTGTTTGGAAACAGGTGTTGTTATTTTATGCTGGGAATCCCAAAAAGTGCTTGATCGGCCAGTTCATCATTGTGTCTCGCTAAATACTTGGCTTATAGTTTCATTATTATTAATCAACTATATACAGCAAACACAAGATAATAGAAATTAAATCATAAAATCGAGTGGCCGAGTAGTCTCGACTCACCCATAACTTCTCCAAATACGTCTATCATGAGCTTTGTACACTAAATCGTTGAAATTACTTAAACTAAATCTTTTATTTACAATCACAATAATTTGTTTTGTCATAATGTCTTTTAATAATAAATCAAATAAATTTGAACGAGGTCTGCCCCTCCT